TGTGCCTCAGTTTACCTTTGAACAGTATGTTTGGGGTGATTATTGCCACTGAGAAGCCCATAAGTAGTTAAAAGGCTGGAGCTTGGGAGAGGGTTAAAGGAGTTGTACATACAAAAGTCTTTCACTTAAAACAGACTAGAAGAGATGGTCAAGGATGAGAAAGAAAAAAGACCATAGATTTTTAGACAAGAGTTATCTCAATAGAGGGAGGAGAGAGTAGCAGTGAGGGAGGAAAGAATGAGTGGCCATAAGTAGGAGAAAAACACTAGAGTTCAGTTTCACAGAAACCAAAAAGGAGGTGGGAAGAGGGTTGAAGTGCATTTAACATCACAGAGAAGTCAAGACAGATTAGGAAGGAGTCAGGGCCACTGGGTTTAGCACATGGAGGTGCCCTTTGAGAGAGCAGTAACACAGAACGTGCCCCATCGAGCATTTGTGTAGCCCTTTAGAGGTTTTAAAGCACTTTCACACACGGGGTGGAATGCCCTGCTAGAAAATAAACTTATTTTTTTCTCTTTTAATAGCAGAAGTGAATAAATTAAACACAAGCATAAGATCTGGAACTATAAAACTCCTAGAAGAAAACATAGGAGAAAAGCTTCATGACATTGGTCTTGGCAATGATACCCAAAGCACAGATAAAAGCAAAAATAGACAAGTGGACCTACATCAAACTAAAAAGTTTATGTATAGCAAAGGAAACAAATGACAGCGTGAAAAGGCCATCTACGGAATGGGAGAAAATATTTGCAAACCACACATGTGGATATTAACCATATGGGGATAATACATCCCCCCCCCAAAAAAACCTCCTTCAACTCAATAGCACAAAAAACCAATTATCCTGATCAGAAAATGAGCAAAGGATTTGAATAGATGTTTCTCCAAAGACATAAAAATGGTATGTGAAAAGATGTTCCACATCACCAGTCATCAGGGAAATGCAAATCAAAACCACAATGAGATATCACCTCACGCCTTTTAGGAATGCTATTACGAACAAAAACTAAAAGATAACAAGGATTGGCGAGGATCTGGAGAAATTGGAACTCTGCTACACTGTTGATGGGAATGTAAAACGGTGTGCTGAAAACAGCATGGAGGCTCCTCAAAAAATTAAAAATAGAATACCATATAATCCAGCAATCCTACTTCTGTGGGATTTTCCAAAAGAATTGAAATCAAGATCTTGAAAAGATATTTGCACAGCCATGTTCATTGCAGCATTATTCACAATAGTCAAGATATGGAAATGACCTAAATGTCCACTGATGGATGAATGGACAAAGAAAATGTGATATGTACATACAATGGAATATTATACAGCCTTAAAAAGGAAGGAAATTCTACCATATGTGACAACATGGATGAACTCTGAAGACATTATGCTAAATGAAACAAGCCAGTCACAGGACAAATACCGTATGATTCCACTTATATCAGGTATCTAAAATAGTAGAACACATAGAAGCAGAGGGTACAATGGTGGTTGACAGGGGCTGGGGGGAGGGGGAAAACGGGGAGCTGCTATTCAACAGGTACAAAGTGTCAGTTATACAAGATGATTAAATTCTAGAGGTCTGCTTCACAATGTTTTGCCTGTGGTTAACACTGTACTGCACACTTAAAAATTTGTTAAGAGGGTGGATCTCATGTTGTGTTACCACAATAAAAAAAAAGAGAGGTCTATTTGAGGACCAGAGCAGCTCTCTGCACTGCACTCCTGAACCCGGGGGTGGCGGGGAGGGGAAGACTTGCAGCTGCACACTCAACCTTGAAGGGCTGAGCTTGTCCTGACCCAAGGCTCCAGGGCAGCCTGTGGCTTGGGAGGTGGCTGTGCATATGAATAGGTGGAGTGACTGTGGCACAAGGGTAATGAACCTTGTGCCAATGGCAGAAGCCAGGCTGGAGGACTCAGCCCAGCAGGGACGGCGACAGGACTTGCCCTTGTCCAGCTGGTCTCACTCTTGGTAGAGACTGAACACTGTGAAAGCTCCCTAAACTGGAGGGAAAACAGCACCCCTCCTGCCACACCCACAAACCCTCTACCCTCTCTCATAAACCTCATCACAGCTCCGTGAAGCTGGGATTATTATCTTCATCCCCATTTTACAGACGAGCTTTGAGTTCAGGGGACTTGTTCAAGGTTACATATCTAGTCTATATGCAGAAGCAGAACTTGAGCCCTCTGGGAGAAAAATCCTGTAGGAGCCTCACTTCACTGTCACATAAAATCTTCTTCAGCCCACTCTCCCTTTCATTTTCCTACTAAAATTGAGTTCCATATGTCTCATAACAGAATTCCAGAGATTAGCCTTAAAAATGCAAGTCTTCATAATTAACAAAAGGAATCTCAGAAAGATATGGCAACATTCTCTCTCCCGCAGATGTGGAGGGAGAGACACCATTCTGCATCACAAAACTAAGCCAAGTGATCTAGTTGAACAAGGTATTAAATTAAGATCTTTCTCAAGAATATCAGTTTGCTTCTCCTGTACAAAATAGAGATTTATACGAATGTTTGTAACTGGTGCCAATTTCTTCTGTTTTCTGTCAAAATAAATCTGCCCTTTGCAAGTGCTATTTGAACAGAGCGATTTTGTAAGTTTGCAAAGACTTACTTAGAAATTGTTGCCATGCCTCATAAAAATTACCTCTAAAGAAACCGCCATTCTGATTGGCTGCTGCTATGGGTCGAACTGTGCCGCCCTCCCCCCCCCACCAAGATGTTGAACTCCTAATCTCCTGTACTTATGAATGTGACCTTATTTGGAAATAGGGTCCTTGCGGATGATCAAGTTAAAATGAGGTCATTAGTGTGGGCCCTAAATCCAATGTGATGGGGTCCTTCTAAGAAGGGGACATTTGGACACAGGCAGACACACAGAAGGAAGATGATGTGAAGACACAAGGAGAATGTCATTTACAAGCCAAGGAGTATGGGCGGCTACCAGAAGCGAGAGAGGCATGGAACAGATTCTCCCTCACAGCCCTCTGAAAGAACCAACCTTGCTGACACTTTGATCTCAGCCTTCTGGCCTCCAGAACTGTGAGACAATAAATTTCTGTTGTTGAAGCTGCCCTGTTTGTTATGGCAGCCCCAGGAAACTACATACAGCTGTCCTGAAAATGATGTATCTCCTTATAAGTAAGGTTTCTGTTATATCAAGACAGGCTTACATGGCACTTTTCTCTCACATGCATAACAGAAAAAATAAATTCTCAAATAACTTGAGTTTCATTTAAATGGACAGCCCTGATCTGATTACAAGTCCAGTGTGCTTTCATCACACCACAGCTGCACACAGGCACAGCATTAAGTCACTGATTTCCTTCTTTGCCCATTTTCTATTGGTTGCTCTTTTCATTAGTATTAATATGTAAGAGGGTTTTTTTTTGTCTTTGTTTTTGTTTGCTGAGGAAGATTTGCCCCGAGCTAACATCTGTGCCAATCTTCCTCTATTTTGTATGTGGGTTGCTGCCACAGCATGGCCACCGACAAGTGATGTAGGTCCATGCTTGGGAACCAAATGGGCCACTGAACTGGAGTGCAGTGAACTTAACCACTAGGCCACAGGGCCAGCCTCTGTAAGAGCTCTTTTTAAATTAGGTAGTCTCTATCTATTTTATTTTATTTTTTCCTTATGTCTGTTTTAGATGTAGCAAACATTTTCTCTCATCCTGTCACTTATTTTCTCTCACTTTTTAAAAATTTCACAGAGGGGCCAGCCCCGTGACCGAGTGGTTAAGTTTGCACGCTCTGCTGTGGCGGCCCAGGGTTTCACCGGTTTGGATCCTGGGCACAGACATGGCACCACTTGTCAGGCCATGCTGAGGTGGTGTCCCACATGCCACAACTAGAAGGACCCACAAGTGAAAATATACAACTATGTACCAGGGGGCTTTGGGGAGAAAAGGGAAAAAGAAAATCTTTAAAAATTCCATAGATATTTAAAATTTTTATATAGCCAAGTACAGTAATCTTTTCTCTTATGGCTTGTGAATTACATGTATTATTTAGGAAGCCTTTCTCCATTCTAAGATCACAAAAATCTTCCTTTTTTTTTTTTTCCCCAGTACGGCTTTGTTTTTTATGTTTTGGGGTCAGACTTCATTTTTTTCCCAGATGGATAGCTAACTGACCCAGCACCATTAACTCCATAATACAATCCCCCACTGATCTGAAATGCCACTTTTACCACAAACTCCTAAAGGAATACCAGTCTGCTTCTGGCTTTTATTCACATTCTGACTTCACCTGCCTTTCTTTAGCAACAGGCCACAGAAATGCATATGCATATATTGTGAGTGACCCAGACGGGGGCCAAACGGAGAATGCACGCATTGCCTGCCTCCTGGGGGTTGCCACTTAGCTCCGGTCATTTGCTGCTCCGGAGAAATACGGGCCTAGTGTAGCCACATGTTCTAAGTTTTCAAGATGTACTAGACATCCAGAGTTTTACATAAAATCTATAGTTCTAAAAGTGATGGCAATTAATTTTTTAAACTTAGCAAACATTATGTGGACAAAATACATTTGCAAACTGAAAGTAGCCAGTGGCGTACCACTTGGTTACCTCTGTTCCAAATGCAGAAATGTGATATAAGGCAGAGTAAGGTCAGACTGGGTCTAGGTGTCCACTTCTAACTCTGTTCCACTGCCACTATTAAGAAGCAAGAGAGGAAGAGTGATGTAGCAGCTCCGGAAACCTAGGTTATTTGTGGCTCCCCCTGGGAAAGACAGTAGTGCCTCACCTCACCTCTCACCCACATGAGCTGATGATGTGGTTCCTGGTTTGCCCAGCAACCAGAAGGTAATAGGTCAGCATGGGGGAAGGGATGGTTACATCAGTCAGGTTGGGTCTCCTAGACCCCGCCAGGCTGAGTGACAGAAGAGGAATGGAAAGTGAGGTGCTGGCCAAGGATAGAGCAAGATTCTGCCCCCCCAAAACAAGCTGGAAAGTGACACCACCTCCTTTCTAATAATAATGCAGGCTCCCTGGATACCCAACTTAACATTGTTTAATTCAGAATGTAATGTCAACAGACAGAAGTCTCCAATTCTCACATGGAGGATAGGATCTGCTAGCAGCAGGGACAACTCACATTGTAGGACTTCAGTGTTTATGGAGAAAGCCCCTTCACATACATATCTCACTGTCTCTCACAACGACCCTGTGAGGTAAGAAGTGGAAACAGAAGAGGAAACCAGCACGAGGGGCAATCAGAATGGTTTTAGATGGCTCTGGGATATGCAGGAAGGATGCGTGGGGCAATAAAGGACTAGAGGCCCCTTCTCCTTCCCTGTGTCCATTCTGCAGAATCATTTATTCATTCAACAAATCCTTGCTGAATACCTCCAACGCACAAAGCACTCTTCCAGGCCTTAGAAACTTAGTGTACACAGATCCAAGGCATGATCCTTCCCTTTGGCTGGGTCACTTATCCTTACTCTGAACTGTGACCCAGACTGGCCCTTGTTCTATTCTCTGGTTGGAGTAGTGACCTCAGGCCAACTTTTGTGTTTTCCTCCAGAGACCTTGATTGTTTCCCAGCCTATTGGTCACTTCCTGGAATGCACTGACCTGTTCCAGGAATACAACATGCTTTTCTATGCTTGAGGCATAGAAAACTGGTAGACTCAGACCCAAATCCCAGCCATGCTTTAATTCTGACCTACTTTCAAAATGTTTCAGGCAGGTCACACAATTCCCTGTGCATGCCATTCGGAGAGCAGGGATGGCACAAATGGTTTCTCTTGAAGCAGGAAATAGAGCTCAGCTGGTGAGGCGGCCAGTCTTTAGGTCATGTTGGAGCAACCTCTTTTCTTCTCGTTACTTGTCCTTCATCTACATCTTTTCCTCTGATGTCCCCATCTTTTTTGGTATGTGACTGAGGAACAGGAATAAGCAGGGGAAGGAATATGTACTAGATACATGTAGGACAGCCCCACCAGCTCTACATGCTTAAGACACCCTCAGCTCATGTTCTGCAGGCAAAAATAATTCTTCCACTGACTGTAGTGGGTAGAACTGTGTCCCTCCCAAAAGATATGTCCAAGTCCAAACCCCCAGTACCCATGAATGAGATCTTAATTGGAAAAATGTGTCTTTGCAGACGTAATTAAGGTGAGGATCTAGAGATGAGATCATCCTTGATTAGGGTGGGCCCTAAATTCAACGACATGGATTTGGTATCCAATGGTGTCCTTCTAAGAGAAAGAAAAGAACACACACGGAGACAGAAGGGAAAAGGCCATGTGAACACCACATGAAGACAAAGCAGAGACTGGACTTATGGTACTACAAGCCAAGGAATGTCAAGGATTACTGGCAGGCACCAGACAAAGGAGAAGGGCTTGGAATGGATTCTCCCTCAGAGCCTCCAGAAGGAACAAACCATGTCGACATCTTGGTTTCAGACTTCTGCCTCCAGAACTATGAGAGAATAAATTTCTGCTGTTATAAGCTGCCAAGTTTGGGGGAATTGGTGATGGCAGCCCTAGATCACAGACTTGATCTGCTCTTCCCCTTGGAGCAAGGACTACCAGGGACAACTTGACTGAGAGTGCAGCCTTCATGTTCCTTTCCCCTGGGGCCTTTGACAACAGTTCTCAGATGGCTGTCTGATGCCCAGAGACACTGAAAGCATCCACCCAGCAGGTGTCTGTTCACCAGCAGAAGAGACCTGGAGCCCCTCGTGAGGTGCTGGGCTCTGTAGCTTCAGGAGGAGTGGGATCGACGTCCTCATCCATATCAAATCTGTCTGCTCCATTCTCAGCCCTTTCTTCCCGTCTAATCCAAAGGCTATTTTCTAGCTGTTCTTCAGCGATTTCTAGTTCTTCCTCTGTTTGTAAAACAGCCACAGTTTCCCGGGGTAAGTGTGAAGAATATAATCCAAGTTTGGCTTTACAACCAAACATTGCCTCATATGGACTTTGCTGTAAAGAAACGTCGAAGGCCTGATTCCTCACCATCTGTATGAATCGCAGGCTTTCGGCCCAGTGACATGAGTGGTTGCTCTGCATCCAGGCACTTATCATGTTCTTGACATCATGGCTTGCTTGCTCCAGGGAGCCCGGGCCTTGGCCAGGGTGGTACTTACCAGAGACAATATTTAGGTCTGGCCATATCTCATTGAGCTCATTAACAACCTGGTTTGTGAATTCTATGCCACTGTCAGATTCTAACATGGTGGGTATACCAAGAATTGTGAAAATATCCAATAGGACACTGACCACTTCATGGGCCTGTTTGGCTTTTAATGGTCGTAAAATAATAAACTTGGTCAAGTGGTCCTGGTAATATAAAATAAACTTGAACTCACCATCAGCATTTGACTGCATGTCAACTATTTCAACTTGGCATCTGGAGTCAATATACTTGAAAGGCATGGGCTTGGGTGCAAGATCTCTCTTGGGTACTGGGTTCTTCTGGTGGCACTGTTTACACAGAGTCAGATATAAGACAATGACTTCTTTAGTGACATTCCCATATTTTCCTTGTAGCTCCTTGAGCATGCGCGTCCGCCCACCATGTCCAATATTGAGATGTGTATCATGAAGAATATCAAACAACTCTTCCTTATGTACATAATACCGTATTCGATCTCTTTCTCCATGATTAGCCTCTATTAGTTTCTCTGTGCCTTGTACAGAGATTACGTCATATTTAGCTGCACGGCGATAATCACGTGATGACTTCTTCCCCTTCTCCTTAGCTTCTTTGACTTCTTTTATTGTTTGAAAGTACTTTTCTTTGGAAAATACCTTGCTGTTGTAACTTTTACTTTCTACTAATTTTGTCACGCTTATAAGAAACTTTTCTCTCATGTTACTTCTCTCCATTTCCATTTCATTTGTATTTGAAACACCAGGGGTATCATTTCCAGCTATCTGTGGCATGACGGAGAACTGCAAGAAGGATCCTAAGAAAGGGAGAAAGAAACAGAACAAAGTTAAGTTCACTCATATTCCATCTGGAAGACCTTCCCCTCAAAGTTTCTTATGGATTCTTTCATTTGCTTTTTGAAGACTGTTATAGAGATAATAGAGTTACAGAATAAAGTAGTAACAGAAAAAAGCTACTAGAAAGCCAACTAGGACCATTTGAAATCAGAGCATGTCAACAGAATTTTAAATCAGTAAGATACACATATACATATGTAGCAATTTTATCCTTTAGGCAAACAGAAGAAATAATGAAACTATTAGCTCATACAGTGAAATCTAATTAGCTGGTCTTTATTAACTGAATAGGAAAGAGTATAAACGGAAAACCCTAAGGTAGTAGGCTAATATTTTACCCTCTGTACCTTTTAAAATAATATAAATGGGAAAATGTTCTAGAAGGTACTCCATAGTAACAGCAAACTCCGAACTGGAAGTTAGCATCAGGGAGGGCTTCTTAGCCTTCCCACAATCAACATAAATAATCAATTTCTTGTACCTGAAGAATCTGTTCTCATTTTAGGAGAATCAAGGAGAAAGCAGTGGGATATATTTAAATGATGACTTTTCCCTGTCGATTGTACTTAGGATTAGTAAATGAAGATTCTCAGTCCTTACCCTGAGGGACCATGTTCTCATAATTGTCCAGCATTGCGTCCCTGGGGCAGTCCTTCTGAGAGGATTCCAAACACTTCCAATTTTTGGTCATATCCTCAAATGTTGCTGCCTTCTGAAATAGTATCAGCTGCTGCCACAGGAACCATTCTGTCTCGGGGCCTGGGCTAAGGAGCAGCTGCAGCAGGATTAAGGAAGAGACAGTGGAGGGTACCGGGAATGAAGGCGTGCCAGCATAAATAACTCAGATTGTGAGCCATGTGAATACTATACGGAAGAAAAGATGACAGCAGTAAAGAAAAGGTCTCATATCCAACAAGATGAATCCAGCTTCGTGGGTGAGGAAAAGGGATTTTGCCCTCCTGGGAGGTCTGTAGGCGTGGCCTGTTTTGACACTGCTTGAGCTGAAGCCCACATATTTCCAGAACAAAGCAGAGAGTCCAAGTGAAGTTGAGCACTCCAAGGCCAGCAGACACTTTCAGGTACAGGCTTGATGGCTCTGAAGAGAGGCAGCAGGGCGTTTTCAGAAATGGAAGAATTACACCTATGAACAGAGAGATATGTTAGGAGATTATTACGCCAAAAAGAGATGCCCCAAATGGAGTCCACACTCCACCAAGATCGAAGAATTTCTTAGTAGAGGACTGGATACTCAGGCGTCTAAACCAAGATTCCTCCGTTAAAACCACTCCAGGATAAAGGATGGTGATGAGGCCAGGTAAGAGTTCACATGATGATCACAGGAATTTCAATAATCTTAGGAAAGCAAGATCCCCGGGATCCCAGCCCCTAAATGTAGAGCTGAGGGGTAGGGCAGAATCTAGAGAAGCACACAAAGATGGAAGTGTTTAAAAGCTCTGAGTAAGAGTCTTACTTAAGCTGAGCCTGCTTCCAGGTCCTGAACTTTCTCCACTAAAAAGGCTTCAAATTCCCTTGCTCAGCATCACTGGTTAGCCACGGAATATTCCTGATTCTAAGACATTACTGACTATAAAACCATTGACTTAATAATGACTTTCTTTTGAGAGGAAAAACAGAGAACCTATACTAAATGAACACATTCAAATTTTTAAAATGTGAAAAACGTGCATTTCAGAATTGAAGAAATAGAATGTTTGCAAAATGCCCTTTAAGACTAAGTTCAAGATTCTCAGTGCAAACTGACATTTTAAAGAGTCTGAGAAACTCTATAGTAAAAAAATCAGTTTGTTTCATCCACCAGCACCATTTAATCAACATTGCCAGGAAGTATCTATTATCATCCCCTAGTCCTAGCATCCTCAGAAGAGACCTGAACCCACAAAGTATTCAATGGGATCCAGGAAGAGCATCTTCCAGACTCCTCACTGAAACCAGCATCTCAGAAATTGAGTGGCTGCACTGGCTGCTATTTGAGGCCCTTCAGGGGCCTGCACAGGAAAGAAAAGCCTCATCTCCAACCCATAAAAGAAGGAAGACAGGCTGGAAATAATTTATAATCAAAAGATGCAAAATCTCAGTCTTTAATATGAGATACAGTCCTTACACTATACCATGAAATTCCAAAACAGCCCACAGGCCACATTTGACTAACAGACCTATTTTGGTTAGTCCATTCAGTGCTTGTTTTTTTAAAACAAGTTGAATGATTTACTTACATTTAAAAATCAGGAGATTTCATATAAAAATCTAGATTCCTGACTTTCTTGAGAAATGCGAAGATGTGGCCACACTGGGAGCAGTGCTGCTTAGCAACAACTGGCTGGAGTGGAGCAGCAGCAGTTCCCTTTAGAGCCTATGCTCTCCCATTTCTCACAGTCCCTAAGCCATCTACTAACTTAATTGGCTTACCTGTCCATCTCTGTGGTTATCTGAGTTTTCAACACCTTTTCTAAAGCACCATGAAAGAAACGTGGCTCTAAAGAAACATGGCCAGCTTCTTGGTATGATTTGTGCTGGTGGAATAACCGACAAATGAGCTTGGTTAGAGAAAACTGGCAACAGCTCTCTTCCTCACCCACCTGAGTCTTTGCTTTGGCAGTCTCCGGCCCGGAACGTCCTTCCATTGATCTTCCAAATCACACCCAGCTCAAATCAGACTCCTTTCTGACGCATTCAGCAATTCCAGCTGAGTCCTCCCCTGAACAGCCCACACTCACTGGAGCACTTTGCTTTGTACTTTCAGTCGACTGTTCGGGGTACACGGCCTAGAAGGCAGGGGCTGAGGCTTCTACCTAGCTGTATTCCCTCAGACGGCCGGCAAATACAGAGCTGCGACAAAGGATGCTCAAAGGGCATTTATCAAACACTTGGCTTACAGGTGTGGTAATGAGGCGGTGCAGAGAGATGGTTAGGAGTCTAGGCTTGGGAATTCAACTTCTGACGCTACCATTTACTGTGTGACTAACTTGCGCGAAGCTACCGAGGCTTCAGTTTCCTCAACTATAAAATGAGGAGAATAGACTCTCCATCACAATGGGCTGTTATGAAGACTCAGGGATGCTGCAGATGTAGCACTCAGTACAGCGTCCCCGCACCTTCCACAACACAGGAACGCCGCTTACTCCTGAAGCTCCGGTTCGGGCATCCCCTCCTTTGCGCTGCCCTCCTCCCCGACCACCGCGGGCTCGGCTCCCACCGCGCCCGGCCGCACATCGGCTCGGCCAGCTCGTCGCGCCCCACCCACTCCTCCGAGAGCGGCCAGCTCAGGGTCGAACGAATGAACCGGGCCGGGGGGAGGGAAGGGCCGGAGACCACCGAACCCCGACCACGCTGCAGGAGAGGGAGGCCCGGAAGGACAAAAGGACGCGCCAAAGGCCGCAGGGTCGGGAAGCCCTAGCCACCAGCCAGCCCGCGCCCAGTCGCCCTCACTTCCCGCCCCCGCCAAGACGGCGCCGGAAGCTGCTGCGCGCCGACCGGAAGCCCCGCCCCCCGAGGGGCCGCCGGCAGACGCCGCGCGGGCGGGAGTCCCACTTATTCTCGTTTTTTTCGGGGCGGGCGGGGGGGGGGTCTTGCAAGGGTCCCACTCGGTGTTCTGCGGTCAGGTGAGACCTTGGGTAAGGAAGCCACTTACCCAACTCAGATCCCCTGCAGCCAAATGGGTTACCTATTGCTCCACATTGTTGCAAAGCCTCCATAATAAATGCCTCCGGCCCTGAAGGTAAACTGCATTCATCATTCTGCCTGTTTAGATGCTTAAGCTAAAGTGAGGAAGGGCAGGGGCGCACACGTGCTGTCAACAATAACACTGCACACCATTTTTCTTAACCCTGAGAGAGCATGCACTTTAGACGAACACCTTGTATTTCAGATTGCAACCTGAAGATTTCAGTTTTGTTAAGGTTTGGGTGTAATGGCACTCACCCAGCGCCAGCGCGTAAAGACAAGATGGTAAAGGGGTCCGGGTTATGCTGCAGAATCTGAGGCTTCTCTGTCACACCCACCTTGAAGCAGTGGTCTAGATGCTACTGGGAAGTCACAGCAGCTCCTCTAGTCTAGTCTTAGCGAGACTTTATATCCAACAGCAAAACTTTTATGCAAAAAAATTTTAATATGCTGTGTTCATATACATAATAGCCCATCAGGGGGGGAAACAGTAAGAGACAGGTTCAAGAGACAGTGTTCCCAACTAGCTTTTCATCTAGGCCTTCTTCTCAATGAGTGATGATGTACCCTAAAACGCTGCAGCCTGCTGGAAGCATAAATAAAGAAAAATCACTATCTCATCAGTCCTGGTTTCAGAAAATTGTCAGAAAGCGTTTCAATTATTAACTGATGCTCAAATGATAAAAACTAACTCTACTTAAACAGTGTTTTTCATTAGTGCAATCAAACCACAAGAGGGGGGCAGCCTGCCTCCAGATAACAAATGTCACATGAACTTCCCTGAAAACGGACCCACTGAAAACTAGGTAGTGTCCCAAAGCACCACACATAAACCAAGGGCTCTTTGTTTTAAGTTTTTAATGAAAGCCATAGATAAGATTACTTTATTCCTGCATTTTCTCAATTGTTTCTTCCTTATATTTGCCCTTTTCCTTTCCTACTTGGCGAGATTTGGCTTTACGTTCAAGGATCTTTTTGCGGTCTTTGTCCAGTTTTAGTCTAGTAATAACCACCTGCAGAAAGAAAAGGAAAAAAAAAACACTTATAAGCTTTAAACAATAATCAATACAGAACACATGGAAGGCCTAATGTTCAACCTCATTTCCTAAACCTGCAGTGGTAGACGCCTAAACATGAAATGATTATTTAACTCAAAAGTGCTAGAAATGATTCTTTAGTCCTCAAATCAAACCTGGCTTGAACGTTTACTAATACTCTACCAACAAAGACGAAAAGGTAATGTGATGTCAGTGGTTCTCATCTCCTCTTGTGCTTTATCATAAGATCTGAAATCTTTTTTTACTGCAAAATACATCAACTGTTCCACTCCTCTGACCAAGTTTTGCAAGCTAACCAAGTCATATACATTTTTGTTTCTATAGTAACTTTAGAACCCTAAGGTTGGAAATTAAATGTAGCCTCCAGACATGCTTCACCCTGCAAAACCTTTAGTGACGTCACAGTAGAGATCTTATTCCAACAGATCTAATGGCTGAAGACATCCAGGTTATGGTCAATTTTAGTCTTATGAAAGTAGGTGAGGAAAAGGCAAAGAGAGCACTGGACTGGGTCTGGAAATACACCATGGTGACCAAAAGAAATCTCTGCCATCATGGAGCTTATATTCTAGTAGGGGGAGATGGAATGCTGGAGAACAGCGGCTGAATCATACAGGGTGATCAGGCAAGGCCATACTGATAGGGCTACACTTGAATGGAGACTGAAGAGAAGGGGCAAGTGTATCCCAAAAAGACCAGCAAGTACAAAGGTCCACAGAGGCAGGAGAACTTAAAAGTTTTATAGGTGTGTGTTTCTAAAACTTGAGTGTGTCTAAGAATCAAACAGAGCACTTGCTAAAATAGATCCCTCCGTCCCTCCCCCAAATTCTCCTTCAAGTTACCAGGTGCTGCTGCAACTGGTGGACAAATTCTGGGTGGCTTGGTTCTAAGAGCAAGGAGGCTAGCAGACTACAACACGGGGAGCGGAATATGACACCATGAAGAGGCGGGTGAGGGGAGATCTTTAGACCTTTAGACTTAGACCTAGTAAGTCTGGTAAGATGGTATCATCTGCTTCTAGCTCTCTGAAGTGCTAAGACTAACAGATGAAGATGACTACAGAGCCACAAGGAGGGAGATCAGCTGTGTCACATGTCGCACTAATAAGTCCAAAAAGATTAAGAATCATGTTACTGATGGTAACATGCAGACAGGATTCTGGCTATAACACGACAGCAGTCAACAGGTCTTATTGACTAATATGGGGGATATAATAATAATCAAAAATGACATTTTTGGCCCAAGCAACTGGGAGGATGGAGCTGCCATACACTGATGATGGCAAACTGTGAGAGGTTTGAAGGATAAAATCAGGAGTTTGAACATGTCAGGTTTGAGATGGATTTGATATCCAAGTTGAAATGCAAAATAGGCAACTGGATATTGAAAGTGGGTTGGTATCATCTGCTTCTAGCTCTCTGAAGTGCTAAGACTAACAGATGAAGATGACTACAGAGCCACAAGGAGGGAGATCAGCTGTGTCACATGTCGCACTAATAAGTCCAAAAAGATTAAGAATCAGTAACTGGATTAGTGACCTCAACAACAGCCGATTTAATGGTGGGAGCAAAAATATGATTGGAGTAGGCTAAAGAATGGGAAAGTCCAAATGCTCCCCTTCGCAGCCTGGGGTTTGCAGGTTCGGATCCCAGGCACAGACCCAGCACCACTCATCAAGCCACGCTGTGGGGGTATCCCACATAAAACAGAGGAAAATCGGCACAGATGTTAGCTCAGGGCCAATCTTCCTCATCAAAAAAAAGGTGGTGGTGGGGGGGGAGTCCTTGCTCTTAGGAAATACACAGTTAAATAATTAGAGTGAAGTGTCATGCTGGTAAAGAAAATGTGGCAAAATGTTAATCAAGAATTCCAGGTGAAAGATACGTAGGTGTTTTACTTCACTAATCTTTTGACTTTTCTGTAGTTGGTTACCTTTATATTAAACATATATATATATTTTTTAAATTGGAAGAGGGAAATTAGAAACAGCAACACGGGAGAATGCACACTGAAGTTAAGGGCAGGCACCTGCTACAGGAATCAGATCAGATTTTCTCTCTTAGCTTAGACAACACTATCACTGTTATCTAGCTTCTGAGCTTCAGTTTTTCCCCCATCTGTAAATGGCTTAATATGGACTTTGCAGAATTGTGAAGCTGCGTACTGCTTATTCAATTCTGTTGAATGCATAAGAGCAAACAGGCTATCACTCCATTTCACCTAAAAATTACCCTATTTCCTAGATTTTAAGATCTGTTCATTGTTAGATTATTGATTGATCAATCAGCTTACTAAGAGCTTTTGAGGAAAAGCTACATTGAAAATACATACAGAATGACTGTTAAATACATACTGATTTCATAAAACTTTTAATTGCTATTAGAATACTCAATTCAAATACACTATTTGCTTTAATTTGGTTTCAAGAACATCTAAAATCTATTTCTATGGGATTGCTCTGTGAACAAGCAAGCATATTTGCCAAGAACTGCTATCCTTTCATTCTTCCCTCTGAAACAGTCTGAACACACTTACCTTGCTCGGGTGAATGCCCACATGCACAGTTGTGCCATTAGCCTTCTCTCGCTGCACTCGCTCAATGTAGATGACGTATTTCTTCCTGTAAACCTGGACTACTTTGCCAATTTGCTGCCCTTTATAGTGTCCTCGTACAACCTAAATGCAAATTCAAAAATAACAGAAATATGCAGATAAAACAAGATTAATTTTGTATATCTGGAAAACTATGAATCTTGTAAACATCATTCATTCTATCAGATCTATAACACCTTTTAATTTTGAAGACTTAATCATTAATGGAAATGAGCCAATAATTCTGTCTCTGGCTTTGATTAACCTGCAAATAAACCATGCCCCAATATAAATCTACAGTGATGGACAGTGTATCCCTACAACTGATGGTCCACCGACATTGGGGGGCTTATTAAAAGGTTAAAAATGAGCTCACCGTGGCTTTTTGTAGCAAATTCACAAGGAACTTGTTACTTTATCTCAAAGAGAGCAATGGGCCACAAGTATTTAATTCACAACCCATCAATCCAGTGCCAAACAGCGGGCAGCAATAAATACCTAAGGGAACAAACCACTTCTTTCTCAAAGGTTAACACAGTTACAGGAAGTACCCCAAAGTGCTTCTGAATAGACTTTTCTTTTCAGGTGCATACTTTCTTGCATTAAGATATCTTTTTTTTTTAAAGATTGGCACCTGAGCTAACATCTGTTGCCAATCTTTTTTCTTCTTCTTCTCCCCAAAGCCCCCCAGCACATAGTTGTATATTCCAGTTACAGGTCCTTCCCGCTCTGCTGTGTAGGACGTGGCCTCAGCATAGCCTGATGAGCGGTGCCATGTATACACCTGGGATCCCAACTGGTGAAACTCAGGGCCGCCAAAGCATCGCGCAGACCAAACCACTCCGCGGAGTTAGCCCGGTATTAAGATATCTTGAAAACAGAGAAGACTGCCTCCCAAATCTATGGGCAATTTTAGCACCAGCATGCCAGCAACCAACAGCTATTCTCAACCCACATCACTAGGTGGGAACATTTTATTTAAATAGGCATTAACCTCGTGCAATAGTATTGGTGATATGCCAGTTGCTTTACAGACTGCTTGAATCCTTCAATCACCAGCTGCAGGTTAGAGCTAAGAAACATCTATCGAAATTTTCACTTAAATAGATTTGAGAAGTTATTTAGTGATAAACTCAATCATATGAAAGTTCAGTTAAAAGTTCTGTACCTGGCTTTTGGTTCAGACACAGAATTGTTTACTGGTCCTCAAACGCCTCTTTAATACCAAACATAGGGAGAAAAAGATAAACCCAAAGTAATGTTCTTGTTGCAAACTTTCTAGTTCTTCTGTTTAATTATGGCTGCGTCTGATGCTTAGGACAATTGATTTTCACTGAAGAGTAAAGGTGAAACAAGAACAGAAAAGCAGCATACTTTTTGTTTTTCAGTCTCTGGCTCAACTCCTTTTGCCCTCCTGTTGCAGGAGCAATTGTCTCAGATGTATCACTCTCAGAACACAATCCCTCTTCTATGCAAGTATGCAGGATATTTGCCAAGATGACCTAAACATGGTACATACCTGAACTTCATCATCCTTACGGATGGGCATGGACCGAACATTGTACTTCTGTCTCAGCTCTTTGGAAAGAGGGGAAGACATAATCTTCCTACGAATGTGGGAAGGTGCATTGAAATGCCGTTTACGGTTCTTGCTCCGGTCAGAAGTCACAAAGGGGTTGAACTTCATTTTGGCTAAATAAAAAGTTAAAAGAGGTGTAAACCCTTAAATGACCAAAATCTCATTCAGTTTCCTAACAAGTATCAGAAACAATTTCATCTTAAAAGTTTAGAAAGCTCACATAAATTGTCATGTTTTTAACTCCCCCCAAAACTGCTTGACGCTATTATATTAAGCAAAACAAGCCAGATAGAGAAAGACAAGTACCGTATGATTTCACTTTTATGTGGAAGATAAACACACGGACAAAGAGAACTCTTTAGTGGTTACCAGGGGGAAAGACGGTGAGGGGTGGACACAAAGGGCGAAGGGGCGCACCTATACCGTGACTGACAAATAATAAAGTACAACTGAAATTTCACAATGTTGTAAACTATCACAACCTCAATAAAAAAAAAAAGGGAAAGAAATCCTGCTTGAACTGAGTGGCTTATCAACTGAAACTTGAAACTTAGGAAATTTTGCTTTACTGAGATGTTTTCCCTATTTGTTTATGGGATAAAGAATTTCCCTTTGGTAACACTCTTGTTTTAATTACTAGACTTGTTTACACTCTCCGAACTCCCTAAGTACTAGAAGGTTAAGACAGGACTTCTATCTGCTGAATTAGTGCAAAGCAGACCGACAATTCTTCAAACACAACACTCTGCTTCAGAAAGACCAACCAGCGCTAATCCTCTAAAGACTTGAGTGTGAACACATTTAGCCCCCTGCCAAATGAATGAATCAGGGCCTCCACCCTGAACCTGGCAAATGCTGTACAAATCTCGGATCCCAAAAACCTTCCAATGGCGACTGCGGTCTGGAAGTTCCGTGGCTTTACCAAGAAATTATTTCGAGACCATTCTTTAGCAAACGACACCGCCCATACTTTATTCCATCTCCACCGGACCCCTCCCCTCCAGCTCCCGATTCCTCAACCACCCCTTTCCCCAGCCCTTCCCCCGTCTGGCGGCCCTTAAGCGAGGGGGAAAACAGGTCGAGATCATCCTGACTCCCCTCCCTGGCTGCTATTCAACTGCCAGAAGGGTACCGGGCCCTGGGGGTCGAAATCCACCGTGCCGATGAGCCGATGGCTGCGGATTACACGCGCTTTCCCAGCAAATCCTCACCAGAAGGCGCCTGAGTGGTGGCCGCAAAAAGAAAGAGAATCACACGTTACTTCCGGTTCTGTAAGTTTACGCGAGATCTCGCGAGACTTACGTCTCTTGGAGCGAGAGAGGCGTGGAGTTTGAACAAGAGGAGGAAACTGGGAAAGAAATCGATGACTAGTGTCACCTCGCGGCTAGGAGGGGAATTGCGAGGGGCTGCCAAGCTCGCTTCTCCAGGTCCTGGCGTCTGCTTTTGGAAATCTGGGTTCCGCAGCTGCGTCCTCTGAGAAGGGTCGTTCCCGGGCGAGTGGCGGGGGCTGCTCAGGGTCTGACTATCCGGGTGGGTGATGAGGGAGCGAGCGGCCCCAGGGGATCCTTGTCCCTTCATTCCCGAGCGCTGGGAGGCTGGCAACTCATTAGCCGGGAAAGGGGAGGTCCTACATTTGGCCGCCAGGTGACGCTGGGACTCCTACTGGCCAGTCCCCTTGGAGCTGGATACCACCATCCCGCCTGGGCCAATGGTGTGGGTGTGTCGGGTGTGTCGAGTGTGTCGGTGCTTTAACGAGTTCCAGCTGGGCGCCGACTGCCGCCTCCACACCGCGGCGCGTGCTGGCCTCGCCGTGGGGCGCGCCCGAGATTCGGCTCCAGCCGGCGAGGGCCTTGCGAGGACTGGGGCCACCCAACCGCCTCCCACCCCGCGGAAGTAGGTCTGAACCAGCGTCTCTCGAGCTCCCGGGTGATGCCGAGGGTGTTGGTCCAAGACTGCTCTTGGAAGGAGCGCGGCGTGAGGAAGCTTTTCCATGCCGAGAGCTGTGCCCCTTTCTGAATTTTACTGCCTGCTGTCATTGAGTTCAGGATCTGAAGGAAGCAGGGCGAGGCGGTGCGCTCCCTTGCAAATGGGTTCTGAGGCAGGCTGCGTTGCGGGCTAAACTCCCGCAGCGTGCCTGGTAGGGAGTCGGTTTCTGTTGAACGAATAACGCAAGTGTCATACTGAGGGAAGACACACATTTCATAATAATACATAAGATGTAGTGAGCTTGCCGAGCGTTAGGGACACTTCTACTCGCTTAACATTATTGACTCCTTTAATACACTAAATAGCCTTGTGATGCTGGTACTGCTGTCCCCATTTTACTGATGGGGACACTGAGCCACAGAGAAGTGAGAGGAACTTGTGCAAGGTTGTACAGAAGCCACAGGTTTTAGATGAACCCATGCAGTCTGGGTTCTCAGTCCCTTCTGGTGACTCTGTATATGGTCCCAATTTGTAGGAACCCATTGGGTCAAGTCAAAGAGTGAGAAACCATATCCTTGAGGTCCCAGAATAGAGTCAGTAAAGGATATGTGCTTTCGTGACATAAAAATGGTTGTGTTCTTAAGTATACTATGAAGGAAATAGTCCCAGATTTTCCAGTAATTCAAAAATTCGGTGAGAATTCCTCCATGCAATTCTTTTCAACAAATGTTTATGGAGCATCTTAAACAGGTCAGCTCTGAACTGGACACTGGAGCTACAAAATGAAATTGTCAAAGTTTCTGCCTACAGGAAGCTCTTTGTCTAAGAGGAGAGAACAAACAATGAAATCAACAACCACAGGACTCCAAGAAAAGTGCTGGCTGAGCCCAGCTGCCCTTGGCACTTCTCCCTTGGTGCATCTTGGTGCTCCTGGAGCAGAAGAGAGCTCTGGAGTCAGGGAAGACTTCTTGGGTGAGGTCACCCTTGACTGAGTTTTGAGCTCTGTTGCAATTTGCTCCATGAGAAGAGCTAGAGAGGAGCCATGGAGCTGTGAAGCAGCATGACACATTGTTTCCGGGAGCCAGGTCCTTGTGGCTAGAGTTAGAAGCCTTCAGATGGAAGCCCACTGGGCTCTGGGCGGAGCTGAGTTTGATTTGGACACTGAAAGCCATAGGAAGCCTCTGGAGGCTCCTGCCTTCCTACCTCACCTTCCTGTCTGGTGTTCACTGTTTCACCCTCTTTTCTTTCTTCTTGTCCTTACTAATTTCCTTAATCTACTCTTCTTCAGGTCTCCCCCATCATCTTCCCCTCCCCACAAAGGCCCTCTCTGTTTCCTCAGCCTCCCCATTATTCTCTGCTGTCAACCTACCCTCTCAGGCCTCCTTAGCTCCCTCCCTCCATCCAACACTGAGTCATCGAAATTAAACCTTCAGCTCACCATTTGGACAGCATAACCATTTTACACAGTGTGAAGATTGCCAGGGTACAAATTGTACACACAGGTGCAAATTACTGGTAGCCTAGTTATAGTCTGTTTATCTTCGCAAATGTCTGTTGGGTGTCTTGGCTCCACCCTGCATGATCCTCTGGCCACCTAGCTGGGCTGCCCTCTCTCTCCCTCTTCCTTATATTCTTATATGATTTTAAAAAGACCTTTTTTTTAAAAATTATTTTATTGAGGTCATATTGTTTTATAACATTGTGTAATTTCAGGTGTACATTATTATATATCAGTTTCTATATAGACTGCATCTTGTTCACCACCAATAGTCTAGTTTTTATTTGTCACCATACACATGTGCCCCTTTACCCCTCTCGACTCCCCCGCCCCTCTGGTAAGCATCAATCTGTCCACTTTATCCATGTGTTTGTTTATCTTCCACATGTGAGTGAAATCATACAGTGTTTGTCTTTGTCTGGCTTATTTTGCGTAGCATAATACCCTCAAGGTCCATCCATGTTGTTGCAGATGGCATGGTTTTGTCTTTTTTTATTGCTGAGTATATATTGTATATATATACCACATTGTATATATATACCACATGTGTTGTATATACATATATATCACCATTGTATATCTATACCACATCGTCTTTATCCATTCATCCATTGATGAGCACTTGGGTTGCTTCCACATCTTGGCTATTGTAAATAATGCTGCGATGAACATAGGGATGCATAGATCTCTTTGAATTGTTGATTTCATGTTCTTTGGATAAATACCTAGTAGTGGGATAGCCAGATCATATGATACATCGGTTTTTAATTTTTTGAGAAATTTCCAAACTGTTTTCCATAGTGGCTGAACCAGTTTGCATTCCCACCAGCAGTGTTCCCTTTTCTCCACATCCTCCAACATTTGTTATTTCTTGTCTTGTTAGTTATAGCCATTCTGATGGGTGTAAGGTGATATCTCATTGTAATTTTGATTTACATTTCCCTAATAATTAGTGATGTTGAACATCTTTTCATGTACCTGTTGGCCATCTGTATATCTTCTTTGGAAAAATGTCTGTTCATATCCTCTGCGCATTTTTTGATTGGGGAGAAAGGTCCTTTTAAACTGGCTCTTTCAGGTTATTTTGAAGCTGGTCTTTATGAAACCCTAAGACACATTAAAGCAAGTGTTATCCAGACACATAGGTGTCCAAGTCCCTTGGACTAAACTTCTTTTCTAGACACCAAACCACCCCGTTTATTTGTTCATTCATTCATTCCTTCACTCATGCATTCTTCAAATATTTATCTGGTTCTTACTCTTTACTAAATTCTATGCCAGGCACTGAGATACAAAGATCAGTAAGATCTAGCTTCCCCTCAAGGAGCACATTGTCTAGAAGGAGGCAGCGGACTTGTCAACAGATAGGCATAATGAAGCATTCCTGGGAAGATGGTGTGATGCGGTGTGGGGCACAACGTAGGAGCGGCCAATTCTAGCTGAGGTTGGGGGTGGGAAAGTCTCCGTAGGTACCCCTTGAACTGTTTCTGGACAGCTAGGTAGGAATTTTCCAGGTAGACAAGGTGGGAAGCATATTCCAGGTGGAGGAAGCCACCAAAGCAAAGGCCCAGAGGTCTGCACCCGCACTGTTGTTGGAACTGCCAATAGTTTGTGCTGAGATTTAATTGTGGCATTCATTTGTACCGAGTAAGAGGAGGATGAAGAAAAGGGAGGAGTTGTGAGGATGGGGCAAGGTTGTTTATTTTGTGCCAAAAAGGGTATTTGGACTGATGAGGAGGTCAAAGGGAGAAGTGAGGAGAGCGCAGAGCTGTCTTTGAGTCATCAGGCTTCATTGAGGGGAGGGGTCCTAGGACTGTATCAGAGGGGCACAGAGGTCTCTAAAGTGCATGCCCAGGCTCCTGGCAGCCCTGGCCCAGGGCCCACCAGCAACACATAGATTCTTTGCTTGGTAGGCCTAGACTGTGCAAGTATGTATTAGAGTTAAAGGTTATTGTAATGGGAGGTGGCAAAGTGTGTGTGGGGGGGTGGGTGTGTAAGAGGGGATACCTCTGGACAAGAGGAGGAAGAGAAGAGCAAGAGAGTTTACATTGAACCCCCGGCCTCCATCCATCTGTCTGCCTATCTACCTACCTACCTACCTACCTACCTACCTATCTTTGTCTGTCTGTCTATTTATCTAATGGTATCGTCCTGTAGTGCCCTGACCCCAGGATGGTTGCTTAAAGAAAAAGATTTTATTTGAGAAAGGAAAGGAAGCATAGAGAAGAATCAGAACAAGCACATTAATTGATGGGGGCCCAAGAAATCCATAGGAACTTAGGAACACTGAGAATGTTAAACTCTTTACCTTCCTTCCTGGGGTGCCTGTTAAGCAGAAAATGTCACACCTCTAACCAGACAAACCAGGCCCACCGAGCCAGTAGCTGACCCTCTCAAACGACAGGACATGTCTGGCAGCTCTCAAATGTTCTTGGGGCCGGCTCCTCACCAGGCAACAGGTGTGACCAGTGAAGATATCTTTAGCTTCTAATATAATCTTTCAATTTAATTTCTGAATAACTAATACATTTACTTTGTTCAAAAACCAAAAAGTATCCAAGGTTAAGGGACACTTCCCCTTCCCATTCCATCATTTTCTCATCCCTTTCCACAGTTAATCACTGTTATTAGTTTTTTACTTATCTTCCCAATTTCTTTATGCATAAGTAAGCAAAATGTAATGTAAAAAGGAATGTAAATGCTTATTCCCCCACTTTCTACAAGTTGTAGTATCTGATACCCAGTGTTCCACACCCTGCTTTTTCCCTTCAGCTATTACGTCTTGGAGACTTTCCATGTCAGTTCATAGACGCCTTCCTTGTTCTTTTTACAGCTGCATGAGAGTCCTTGGACCTTAAGTTATACAACCAACCCCCCATTGATTGGCATGTAGGGTTTTCCCAGTCCTTTGTTATTATGAACAAGGCTGCAATTATATTACGTTGTATATGTGTCACTGCCCATATATGCTAGTATATTTGTAGGATACATTTCTAAAACGAGAATTGCTGGGTCAAAGTGGACATTTTGATAGATAATGACAAATTTCCTTTCCTAGGTGTTTTACCAATATACATTCCTACCACCTCACCTCCTTCCCCTCAGCTTTGGCAGCAGAGTGGGTTTTAAAATGTTCAGGGTTTGACAAGCTAATAGGTGAAAAATCTTATGCCAGCAGAATTCTAATTTGCATTTCCTTCACAAATGTCGCTGAATAAATGTTGAGGAGGCATTTGCCTGTGTATGTTCGAACTGTCTTTTTCAATCTAAAGCGAACCATCCTGGGGCTGGCCAGGTGGCGTAGTGGTTAAGTTCATGTGCTCTGCTTCCGCAGCCCAGGGTTCGTGGGTTTGGATCCCAGGCGTGGACCTACGCACCACTCATCAAGCCATATTGAGGCAGGCGTCCCACATATAAAATAGAGGAAGATGGGCACAGATGTTAGCTCAGCAACAATCTTCCTCACAAAAATAAATAAAGTGAACTATCCTAAAAGCCCAAGCTTAGAGCTTCCCACATGCATTTCCAATGTCTCTGGAACTTTGAGAAAATATAGACCTTTATTTAAAAAATAGCTTTTGACATTCTTTGAAAATAAAACAAGTGCCATCTACAAGTCACCACTGAAATGAAAACACTACAGGTATTTTGAAATTAACTTTTGGCAAACACAACAGAATCTGAAAAGACTAAAATCTCGTCCCGAGAAATTCATGACACTGTTTAAAGTAGCCCCGCTGAGGTTAAAACAGACTCATTAGAGTCTTTGTAAATGTAACATTTTTATTCCTATAATAAATATTTTCCCCATGGATCCACCTGTACCCCCTGCCCAAGTAGCACCTATACTGTTCTCTAGTCTTGAAAAGAGCATAAGGAAGTCCATAAGTGCTTTAAATAAGCCCTCCCTGTGTCCCAAATATCCCCTCTGGTGTGGATCCCTTTCCCTGATGGTCCCCAAACAGCCACCACCGCAGGCACTTGGGAACTAGATAAGAGGCAGAGTGCCATTTCTTTTCCCGCAAATAGCAAACTTTGCCAAGAGAGGTATACATTGTGGAGGGCTCAGCTGTTGGCACACCTGGGGTGTGACAGAATAGCTGCAGGTTTTTGTTGTTTCTAATCCTAAAATTAATTTAATATTATGGCCATTGACTTACAGGCCTTAGCAAACAGAAAATAGCTGAATGACTAGCTCCTCAGGCAAAACCCAATCTGAGGTTTTTCTAGTGGTCCTCAAGGACCCCCAGCACCTTCCAGGGTGGGGTCCCCAGGTAAAGAGGCCATGGCCAGCAGCCGACAGCACCTGGGTGTCAGCATTCATTGAGACAGTAGCGTCCCTGACAAGCACAGCTGTTTTCTTCCCCACCCTTCCTCGCCCATCCCAGCCTGGGACTCCACCTCGGAAACTGGCCCAGCTGGTGTGGCCTCTAATGAGTGGTTGGGTCATGAGGTGGCCGACTTGGGCTGGGAGGGAGGCGGGAGCCCCCAGGGGTTAATTTACCCACATAGTTCTCAGCTGACTCAAGTCTCGGCCATCAGGCTTCCCCTGCACTCCCGGCCTTCCAGACTATCCTTGAGAACCCCAAGACTCAAAATTTGGACCATTTCTTGGACCTGGGAGGCTTGGGGAGACCTCTGGCTCTGTTTGTGGGACATCCTGCTGGCCTTGGCCCCTATCGACAAACCCCTATTTCCTGATGTGGCCTCACCTCCCCGGGAAGACCATTTTCTGTTTCTTCCCCCAGAAATCCTGGGCCACAGCCTCTGTGATCGGCTTCTCTCTCAGGGAAGACGTTTCAGGCTGGAGAGTAGGAGGTGGGAGGACTTGGGGGTGGAAAGGCATGCACACTGGCCCAGCTGAGAGGGTTGTGGATGGGTGTGAGGTTCTGGGAAACATGTCCTTTCGGCCCCTTCACTGCCCCTTCTGTTTGTTCCTGAGAGCAAGCTAGAGCATCCTGGATGGGAATTGTGACCTGGAGGAGTCCTGCCATTGAGCCTCGACCCAGCAGGACATGCCAGCAGAGCTTCCTTGTCCCTGGGAAGCCCCACCTGGCTTCAGTTAGGTCACCTGGCAGAATATGACTGTATGTCAGGGCTGGTGACCCTACAGGAAGGGAACCACCCATCTTCCCACCCTGCTCAGTTCTAGCCTAGAGGAAGGAGAAAGCAGCTGCTGAGGATGCACCAGGGGGCCACGGCTGTTGGTTCTGAGGAGGGGCTTCCATCACATTTTCACCCTGGCCTGGAACCTGGAGTTTCCATTTCAGCCCAGAGCTCAGCTGCTCATCTCAGCTCTAGCCTCAGGGATCACCAGCCCCCAGCCTCTCTGTCAGGCCTCAGCCTTTGGTGGGAGCGAGGAAATGGGGGTAGGGATATGCCACCATACTTCCAGTCAGCACCGTCCTAACGCCCTCTCTCTGCTCGCCCGCTCTTCAGGGCTTGGTTGGACCAGCTCTGCAGTGGGGCCCCTCTGCCCCATCCCAGGCCATGGCCAGCCCAGCTGTGTGGAGCAGGGCAGCTTCCAGAGCAGCTCTCAGGCCCCGCCTCACTTGGCGGCCCCTGCAGGTGCCACCACTCATGCCTACTTCCTCACCAGCAGGACCCAGGGCAAGACAGCGGCCACCACAGCCAGCACAGCGATGAGAGTGATAAGCAGTAGGGCTCGGGAGCGGCAGCAGAATGACCGGGTGGAGCTGGGTGCCGGGGATGCCTCAGAAAGCTCTGCCACGCTGCGCCGCGGCAGGACACTGTCCTGCTCCCCCAGGGGCATCCCATGGCGGCTGATGATGAAGATCTGTGGCTCCCGGGGCAGGCTGGGCAGCAGGTCCAAGGGCAGCTGGGCACTCTGACTTGGGGATGGTCTCCAGACAGGCTGAGAGATGGCCAGGGGGTTTGTGTGGCCCATGGTGTCCAGTGGTGGCACAGTGGGCAGACCCATGGGCACGGCCAGGCTCTGGGAGCTCTTGTCCAGCATGGAGGGCCAGCGGGAGCTCTTCTTGCTGAGGAAGGTGACGTAGCGGCAGATGGGACAGACGATGGTCCTCTGGACCTGCCCATCCACGCGAGTGGAGAGTAGGTACTTGACGAGGCAGTCATGGCAGAACATATGGCCACAGCTCAGTGTCCGGCTGGCGCCCTCCAGATCTCGGAACTTCTCGTAGCACACGGGGCACTCGCTGCCCAAGCTGTCCTTGCTCTCCCCTTCTGACATGGCCGCTCCGGGACGGCAGGGCCTTAGCTGTGAGAAGGAAGAGCCATGAGCATCAGTGCCTTTTTCCCTCCTTCTCTCCCCTTCCTAACTCCCTCCTACACCTCAGCTTCCTTCTTCCCTTTCTCCTTGTCTTCTGTTCTCTTTCTTTTCCTCCTACGCTTTCCTCTTCTGCTGCTCCTCCTCAGTGGTCAACCTGATTTAAATCAAGACCTGAGACTATAGCCTAAGACCCCCTAGGAGGAAATGAGGGGGCACTTCTGGAAGGGGGGATTGGGAGACAGATAAGGAGAGATCCCAGCTGCACTGGACTCTCGAAGGAGGTGCGTGCAGTGTGACGAAGGTGTAGCCTCCTGATACCCTAGCTTAACCATGGCATGCACACACAGTGAGATCACCATCTAGCCTCTTTCTGGTTCAATGCCAGAAATGAAGGCAGGAAGACCCAGTTCTCAGGGGAAGAAGGTGGCTAAGCAGATGCTCCCCCAGCCTCAGTCCGGACTCCAGTGGGCCTGCATCCAGAGGGGCCGATTTCCAGAACAGCCTCGGCTACTCCTCACCCTCCCTGCTCAGGGGTTGGTTGATCCACTGGGTTGTATCCACCCATTGGATTGCATTCCTCTGTGCTAAGTGTGACTGTAAAACAATGACTGTTTTGAAAATAAAGCTCAGAACTTACACATCCCAGTGCCTCCTGGCCCTCTGCATAGTCACATCAAGGAGCTGTGGGCTCATTCCTCCACCTGCCAAGTTCAGTCATTCTTCAGATTCTTCTTACAGGGCTGCCTGGGGCAGCGAGAGAACTTTCTGCTTACCCTAGGTGAGGGCAGATTTCATCCTTCGAGGATATGTCTGATATTTTGGAAATGGCCAAAAGCCACAGGGAGTCAAGCCTGCTGAGAAAGTAAATGGGTGCTCAAGCGGCATGATACTGTTTTGAATCAAAGATATGGAGTCACCATGAAGTAACAGCATAGGTTTTAAACATTATCTGAGAGCAAAGGAGAGGCCCCAAAGATGTTCTCAGCAATGGCAGAACTGTTGGATGAAGTACATAGCTTCCCAGGATGATAACTTTGAAGGGAAAGACCCATTTGGGTATATGGCGAGGTCCAAGTGTCCTCATTTAAAAGTCCCCAGTATCATAACTGTGTAGTCTAAATTTATCTAGAACAGCCTCTTTAAAGGGACTGTGATCACCTGTTATTGATATATTCTTCCACCAATGACAGAGACAAAAGACCCCTGAACACACTGACAAACAGATCTGTGTGGCCGCCCCCAAACCTGAGAGATAGCATAATGGAAACAAGATTAGTTAATAGGAAGGACAAACTATAGTTTGTCAAATCACAAGTCTTTTGGAATCTCTCCCCTCTCTTGGCTTGGTTTCAAATCCATTTGCCAAGTTAAAAATGTCCCATAACTAAGAAAAAGCAAAAATATGTAGAGGTGGGGATAGAGGGCCTGGGAGCCTGCAGGTAGCACCAAACCTTTGCAGAGGTTTTCATGCTTTGGTCTCTGAGGTGGTCAAGGTGGTGCCCAGGCTGGGGGTGGGGGTTTCAAGTTCTCAGACTCTGGAGCTGGGTTCAAATCCTTGATATACCCATTCCTGTCTGTATAACCTCAGGCAAGTGTTTAACCTCTCTGAGCCTCAGTTTCCCATCTATACAATGGGGTTGATAATAATAGTTCTACCTTCCTTTGAGAGTTGTTCAGAGTATTAAGTGAGCTAAGGTGAGTGAAGAGTCTGGCACGCAGAATGACGTAGGCGTCATTGTTAAGGCAGGCCAAGTCCTCGCCGCTCCTAGCATCTGCCTTCCCTTCCTTGCCTCTCCTCCCTAGATGCTCCTTATGATGTAGATGACTAAAAAATCACACCACCCTGACAGAGGCAGCTCCCCTCAAATTAGAATAACTGAACAAGATGACAATAGATTAGGTAAGTGATGGGCAACGGATAAAAATGAAGATGGTGATTCCAGTGTTTCTCAGTTGTTTTCATTTCATAACACACTTGCAAATGTCTAAACTAAACCGGGGTTATTCTCAGGATGACCATGATTTTCTTAAGCCAACCAGCTGCTAACATGACCTCCTGCATTTCATAACTCCTCACAGGTGTATGGTGAGAATTCCTTCCATGCATGCATCCATCCATCCATCCATCCATCCATCCATCCATCCAATTATTCAACAAATATTTACAGAGCACCTGCCATGTGCTAGGTACTGAGTGAGGCACTGGGGATACATAGTGATCAAGAAAATCCTTCATGAAACTTTAGAGCCTAATGGACAGTTATAAGTTTTCTTAAAAAAGAGAATTTTTTTTTTTAGAAAGGAGGAATGATGAACAATAGCTTAAGTCATTTGAGTACGTGAGAAATAGGTATCAAGATAGGCAAGACAATGAAAGCAGATAGATAAGAGAATGCTAGGGGAAGAAAGGACTTTTGAGGTGATTTAGTTAAATATAGTTTTATAGGTGAGCAAACCCAGGTCCAGAGAGGGGGAACTGACTTGTCTGAGGTCACCTGAGAAGGTGATGGAGAGGGAGATGGCAGAGAGAGAAGATTCCCGGGACGACATAGAGAACATTATTAGACTTGGTTGATAGATTGGTGAAGGGTTATTAGCTAAGTCAGGAAGCACATCCTTGGAATGAGCGGGGGAGAGGGGGTGGACCTCTGTCTCATCCGAGTTTAAGAAGAAGTAAAAGGGATCCAAGGGATGCAAAAGACATCCCAGGTTCCCACTGATGGCCTTTCAGGACAATCCTTTCTCCTTCCTGTGCCTCAGGAGAGCACACCATTCACATCTGGATAGTACACCCTCCTTCCCCACCTTCTTCCCACCTCCCCTTCTCAGTCTTTCCCTGACCCCTCCCTCCTTGAGTCCCTCCCTTTCTGTTAATTCCATTTCATTCGTTCTCTATCCTTGAGTTCCTCTTATGGGCCTGACTCTGTCTCGAGTGCTGGGGTCAGGGGGAGCGGGGGAAAGGGCAGCAGAAGAAATGCAAGGAACAAGTCTGGCTTGGGCACAAACTAGCTAAATAACAATGTGAGACATTATATGACAAAAGGCATCCCTGTTGGTGCTTTAGGAAGCTGCGGGAGAGGAGGGCTGGAAAGTCTTAGGTGACCAGTGTCGAGGTAATAATAAATAATTATAACAGCTACTATTTACTGAACACTAATTATGTGCTTGGCATTTTGCATCCCTTCCTCATTTAATCCTGACTACAACTCTGGGAGGTAGGTATTATCTCCATTTTACACGTGAGGGAACTGAGGCTCAGGGCTTAAGTAACTTGTTCAAAGTCACACGGCTAGTACAGGGCAGACCCAGGATCCGAGCCCAGGTCAGCCTGGTTAGGGAGCCCATGCCATGTACCACCACCTCTAGTGACAATTCAGATGTGCCTTCATGGAGGGCATTCCAAGCCTTGGTCCAAAGAGTAGATGAAGAATTGAGAACAAGATGGCAGAATAGGAGGTTCCAGCCCTCATACCTCTACAGAAACACTGATTTAACAAACATCCCTGGATGAAAATACCTCGTGAGAGCTCCAGAACCCAGTTGTGTATGTTAAATCTGTATAACTTTTTGTATGTCAATCATAACTCAGTAAAGTGGTTTAAAAAAAAAAAAGGAATAGATGAAGAAGCATCAGTGGAAAAGTGACTACCCCAACTTCCCTCCTCAGAGTGATTCTAAACAGAGCTGCCACTCCAGCCACCTGTGAGGCAGGGCAGGACAAGGGCTGGCCCAAGGGGAGCTGACCTGATGAAGCCCCAGTGCCCAGCTTCACCCACAGCAGCAGCCCATTGTGAGGACTGCTTGGGGGGCATGAACAGCCCAGGCAGCCCTCCTCCCCCCCACCTTGGGACAATGAGCCTGTAGAGCAGAGTGACACTTCTAGGCACCCAGACTTCCCTCCTGGATTCCCAATGTAAGGCTTCAGCTATGACCACTTCCCCACCCCTCCACACCACACACACATACACATACGCACACTCACACTCCCACACCCCTGCATCACTCCAGTTTCAGTCCAGAACCTTACCAAGCTCTGACTGCTCCTTCCCCGCCCCCAGCTGGGCTCCCAGACTCACTTTGGCTGGGACCAGGGAGAGCAGCATCCACCTCTCCACCCGCGGCCTCCGCAGAGCAGATCTGAGCCACCCAGAAGTGTTGGGCAGGCAGTACGTCCTCCTCCTGCTGTCATTGTGACGGCCGCCGCTGAGGCATTTCCTAATGACTGAGCAGGTCGGGAGGACAGTGCCAGGAAGTGAATGTCGCCCAACCTGTTTGAGGCCAGGAGGCTCTTGGCATTGCTCAGGGGGTTGGCAGCTGGTGGAGTCAGGTGATCTTGATGAGGATGCTAGAAGAGGAGCCCCCTGTTGAGAAGGAGCCCAAGGATGGGTTCTCGAAACAAGCAGGGAGTCTCACAACGGAGGCAGTGACCCAGGACCCCTTTGAGTGAGGCTCCCCATAGATGGGTCTTCCCATTCCAACAATAAGAAAGTCATGCTCACAGTCCTTCCACCCTCCTGGACCCATTTCAGTGATCCCCTCCACCCCATCGTGCACAGGGTGAAGGGGTCAGATCAGCCTCAGTAAGGCATCGCTACCCAAAGTCATGTACAAAAATTGGGGTGATGTGCCTGTGTGCATTTGTCATTCATCGAACGTTCAGAGGGGCTCAGAGCTCCAAAAGACCAAACTCCGCTGGGATAAAGAATGAGGCAGAGGGGCTGGCCTGGTGGAGCAGCAGTTAAGTTCGTATGCTCCTCTTTGGCGGCCCGGGGTGCATGCCGATTTGGATCTCAGGTGCAGACCTATGCACCACTTATTAAGCCATGCCGTAGTGGCATCCCACATATAAAGTAGAAGAAGATGGGCACAGATGTTAGCTCAGGGCCAATATCCCTCAGCAAAAAGAGGAGGATTGGTGGCAGATGTTAGCTCAGGGCTAATCTTCCTCAAAAAAAAAAAGAATCAGGCAGAGTAAAACCAATGAAGTAGAAAGGCACACCTGCATGGCAAGAAGTCCCTGATTTCATGTGAAATAGAAGCAAGTTTCAGAACAGTCTGTACAATATGATTCTATTTATGGAAATGATAATATACGATAATCTTTATAGAGAAAAATCTGAAAGAAGACACATCAAACTTGATAGTAATAATCTCTGGCGGGACTTTCTAATTTATACGTTCCTATGATATTTGAATTTTCACCCCAAATGTGTGTTTCTTTCATGATCAGAAAAAAAAAAAAAAATCAAGAATAAGGCAGGAGCCAAGCCAGGGGAACTGGAAACCATTTTGGGAGAGCCCTCCAAGTCCTCTCAGGACTGTAGGCCAAGTCCTCAAGAAATCAGTTTTCTTCTGAAAAAAGGAGATTTCTAGATCCAAAGCACAATCAAGAATGAGTGTGACCCCATAGGGTACTCCAGGATGGCCCCACCCCCACCCCACCAACCACGGCCTGGCTCCATAGCCACCTTGAAGCTGGTAGGGGAGGACATCAGGGCAGTGCACCTGGCTACCTCTCCCAGGGACATAAAGATGGCTGAGAACCAACTGTCATGACAGTCTCTCATGTTCTTTCCCCAGGAGCCAAATGTGAGGAGGCCCAGGTAGTCCTAGATTTAGCAAATAGAAATGTAGACAGCCCAGGTGAATTTGTATGTCAGATAAATAACAAATAGTTTTTTAGAATAAATATGCTCAATGCAATATTTGGGACCTACCTGTACTAAAAAAGTATTCATTGTTTCTCTAAAACTCAAATTTCATTGGGCATCCTACATTTGATTTTGTAACTCTAGTCCCAGAAGCCTCCCCAAATTTCTCTCCTTCTATCAGCACCTCCAGGGGCCCCTTCAGCAGCATGGCTCACAACTCTATCTATGGCTTTCTGGGGGTTCCTGAAAAGGATCCCAAATACCTCAGCATCAGCATCCCTGTGTGCCTCGGAGAGGGTACTGAGCCAGGCGGGGCTGCCCTTAGACCCAGACTAATGTGATGTGATTATAGGGTAATAGGAAGTTCCTGAGGCCCCCAAATCTTTTTCACTGGCTCTGACATGAATCTTGACTTTGAAGATTACCTTAAATATATAAATATGTATTACTATAGTCTGTCACAGTTTTGTGTTCCAAAATAAGAATTCCACTTTAAAAATTACGTATATAAATGTATGTGCGTGTGTATATATATTTTACATATACAATCTATGTACATATATGTATATACATATGTACAATACACACACACATACAACTTATCTGAGAGAGTAAATATATCAGCTGGAAAAACCTTAGCTTGACTTTATCAGGTTGGCTCTAGCCATCGAGCAAGGTCCTGAGAGAGTGGGACATAGGACTGTTAAGTCTTGAGAAGCAGAAGGGAATTAGTTATCAGGAAAGGTTGCTAGCACAGGCATATTAACTAGGAGAATCTACACTATAGGATTTGATAGTAGGGAGCTCTAGGAAGTTAAAACCAGTGCAGAAGCATTCACAAATGCTCTCCATGTGTTTATATAAAGTGCCGTGTACCTTTGAGTAAGTTACTTAATCCCGCTGTACCTTAGTTGCTTCATCTGAAAAATGGAGATAATAGTACCTACTCTACGGGACTATTGGGATGATTAAATGAAGGGATGCAAATAACGTGCCTGGAACCATGCCTCTTATGCATTAATGGCTTCATCAGCATTATCTACCATGGTCATCATCATCATCATCATCATCATAGCAAAAAGAGAAGCTGAAAGAGGGGTAAGAGGACTTGAATACCTCCTACTCTAAGGGGCCTGGCCAATCTGGTCCTGGCTTAGTGATTAAGGTATCTACTGCAAATCCCACCAGATTTTATGGTATCCTGTTCTTCTCAGCAGAAAGGACAAATGCAGGCTGAACTGTAGAAAACTAGTTTTTAGCTCAGGGAGGGATGGGACCAGTGACGTCTGCTCTGGTCAGGCCCCATTGGAGAGTTGTGTCCCATTCGGGGCCTCACTGGGGGTGGTGTTGCCGAGGCACTGAAGCATGTTCTGGGGAAGAGGCTGCCCAGGATGGGGATGAGTCTGTGACCATTTTGGCCCCTTAAGAAAAGACCTCCCTTGGAGAGACCTCTCTGAGGGTAGGGGGCTTCCAGACAAGGGAGAATCCTGGCTGATGCTGACTGACTGCCAACTGACCGTGGGTACAGTTTCTATGAGGGATGAACAGCTGGCCCAGGATGGGAGTCCTCAAATACTAGAATCACCTGGAGAACTGATTAAAGATACAGCTTCCAGGCCCTGTCTCAGGACTTAGCAGGTCTTGGGAGGGGCCTAGGAAACTACATTCTATATTTGTTTTTTTAAATTGGATGGATAAAGGAATGGATAGATAGTGATAATGCAAGAATAGTATAAGCTAATTGTGGAATCTAGGAGTTGGATATATGGGTTCTCATTGTAGAATTCAATTCTTTTTCAAATTTCACTTCTTTCAAAAAGTTTTTGCTGTATGTTTGGAATTGTCATAATAAATGTTGAAACAACACAACTCAATTTCTTGAATAAATAATATATTCAGATGATTGAAAAATGAAACAGTGTTTAAAGATCTGCAGCAGAGTTTCCCTCCCCTTGATGTCCCCCATCTGCCCATTTCCTCTGCACTCATTAGGATGGCTACTATCAAAAAAACAGAAAATAACAAGAGTTGGTGAAGAAACGGAGAAATCAGAACCCTTGTGCACTGCTGGTGGGAATATAAAATGGTGCAGCCACTGTGGAAAACAGTATGGCAGCTCCTCAAAAAATTAAAAATAGAATTACCATATGATCCAGCAATTCCACTTGTGGGTATTTACCCAAAAGAATTGAAAGCAGAGACTCCAACAGATACTTGTACACCCATGTTCATAACAGCATTATTCACAACAGCCAAAAGGTGGAAGCAACCCAAGTGTCCATTGACAGGTGAATGGATTAACAAAATGCGGTGTAGTCATACAACGGATTATTATTCAGCCTTAAAAAGGAAGAAAACTCTGACACATGCTACAGCATGGATGACCTTTGAGGACATTATCCTAAGTGAAGTAAGTCAGTCACAAAAGGACAAATACTGTATGATATCACTTATATGAGGTCCCTAGAGTAGTCAGATGCATAGAGATAGAGAGCAGAATGTGGTTGCCAGGGGCTGAGGGGGAGGAATGGAGAGTTATTGTTTAATGGGTAGAGTTTCCGTTTAGGAAGAAGAAAAGACTTCTAGGGATGGATGGTGGCGATGATTGCATAACAATGTGAGTATACTGAATATCACTGAACTGTACATTTAAAAATGATTAAGATGGTAAATTTTATATTATGTGCATTTTACGATAATTTTTTAAAAAATTAACCACTATCATTATAATTCTTGTGCAGCTTATTTATTTTTGTGTCTACATGAGCAAATACAGATATAGATTCTTATTCTCCCTTCTTTTTTTTTTTTTTAACCGAAGGATAGGGCACCGCATACATGCTTCTGCATCTTGTCTTACTCAACACTACATCTTGGAGCTTTCTCCATTATCAGCACACGCATAGTCTGAGTTTTTGGAATTCAAGTTTTTAGCAGCTTCTCTAGGTAACATCAAAGGGCAGCCTGTTTGGGAACCTCTGGCCTGGGAGATGGCTGGGGTTCCAGGTAGCTGGGAGACATGCTCCTTCCTCCAGGCTAGGTGGAGGAACACCACAGGCTGAGGTGGCTCTTTCAGACAGAGGTGCTTCTCTGTCCCTACCATCTTACAGTGTCCCAGTGTAGCATTCTCCACAGCAGCATCCCCAGGGAAGTGGAATCCCCACGGCTCTTGGGTCTCCTGCTCCCCTGGAAGGGACTCTGGGTGTCTAGCAGCAGGGGCACTCTGCAGCTCCACCTTCTCTCCAGCCCCAGCAGGCAGGGGCCACCCTAATAAGACGGCATCACTCATGTCATTCAGAACCATATGCCAGGGCTGACATTTTAATAAGGGTAAAGTGAGTCACCCCAAATATTGAAGGCAGAGGGGGATGGGAGCCCGGGGAGCACATGTGGAGCCAGAAACTGCAGGCTGGGCCCTGAGGCATAGGAGTGCAGAGGAGGAGGGAAGGGGAGGGAGGAGAGGGAGAATGTGATTATGGGTTAAGGTCAACCTTTGCTAGGGCAGAAGCTCTTAGTCTTTTTCTATCACTGCCATCCGTGAAAAGACACTGGACAACGCTCTTCTCCAGCTGAACATGTTCCTGTGGGCACACCTGGACCACTGATCAGGGCCTGGATCAGGGACATCAAGGGCTGTGTGTGGTTTGGAGACAGGAAGCCGTTGCCCTGACTGCCCATATTCGGCCAGTGGAGGCTTGCTCAGTCCTGGCTGTGGATGAGGCCGGAGTCATTCAAGGGAGATTGGGGGTGGGGTGTGGGGGGTGGGAGTGTGTGTTGGGGGGGAATAGGGTGGGGTGGGGGGCAAGCTGGCTGCGCCCTTGTACGCACTCATGGTGGTTGCAATTAAAAGACGCCCAAGGGGCAGGAGGTGGGGCATCTCCTGGCCATAAGTGTGGGTGTGCACATGACCCTTGACCCTCCTCCCGCCCTGCCTCCACTCATGGGAGTCCTGACTGGCCTGGGGAAGCTAGGCAGATGAAAAGGCCTAACCAGGGAGAGCAGAGGATCCCGAAAGTGTGGAGTGGAGGATTCCCTGATCCCTAGGGAAGTCCACACAGAGGCCAAGGCTTCAGTGATCCCTTAAGATGCCCTGCTCCACCTCCCTGCCACCTCCTAGCCCAGTC